GTGACTCAGTCGGAGCTTGGTGCGACTTTTTCGAGCCCACAATCAACCACCTATGCGGTGATTGATTTCATCTCATGCACACACTCCCCACCATGTCAATGCCCATGAATGTAATGTAAGTCATGCATAATGACATTTCAATGTGCAATTGCCTTTGGTACCATTTACAATGTCCATTACATAAAGAATACAATATAATGACATTTTCAACATGGCAACATGTTTATCAATTCTATAAACATAAGCACAAGTCCACCACAATTATTATATGCTAAATAATCATTTAACATACATATTATTCCATAATCACATAACAAGCTAATAATTTTATTAAACTTGATATGCCATTTAAAACATAAAATAATTCTAATGTACAATTAATATGCTTTAAACAACTAAAATTAACTTACACCAAGTTAATCATAATAGGATTTTTCTAATTACAAAGTTAATTATAAATCATATATTTGACCCACTAGTTACACTAGTCAAGACCTAACATGTGATATACACTCATAGCCTACCCATTTCATATGTCATATTTTAGGTTGAAAGTAAATCTAAATAGAGGAAACCCTACCTCTCGTAGCGTGAGCCCACGTACTGGAACTCCAAGGAAGCGCAATTTAACTTCTCAAACTTTAGGTCTAAATTATCGTCTTTGATATTCTTTTGGAGAAAAATACGATATTTGGTGTGGTTGCGTAGCTCTCGCTTGCGTAGAGTAACTTTAATTTTTGGCCCGAAACGATTAAACCGTCCAATCTTCGTAGATCTGAAGAAGAAAAAAGGAGAACAATAAAGAAAAAAAAAACTCTTTTCTCTCTTTCACTCACTCGGCAGCCAGCTGGAGGAAGAAAAAGTGAAAGACTAAAGTCTTCCACACTTATATATATATATAGTATAAATTTATAGTTTAGAAATTTACATTTTTGACCCTTATATTTACAATTAATTATTATTTTATCCCTTTAATTAAGATTTTTAATAATAATAATAATAAATTTTTTTTTTCGGATTTTATAGTGTTTGTGTTTTTCTAAGATATCCTCTTGACTACAAGGTATATCTCTGCTATGATCTTTCAGCCAACAGATTCAATGTTTTCAGACACGTCCTTTTTAACGAAACTTCTTTTCCATTTGCTTATTCATCTATTTTTCCACCATTCTCTCCAGCACCTATTGGCATGAACAGTGCACGCTACAGTAACTTTGAAAACCCTACTTCATAAGAAATAAAACATGTGGGCTAAGCATCCTTAAGCCCACTTATTAATAATTCTAATCCTTTAGACAAATTGGAGGCCTTAACAACAATAAACCAATTGAATCTTAGCCTTAGCCCCTAGCTGGATTCTTCTAGAACTTGAACCAATTTAAAGTGTGCTCTCATAACCAGCCCACTTGGAACTTGAACTAAATCCCTTGAAGTTGTGTTATGATTTGCATCACACTCAACCCAAATATCAACCCAAGGTCTCATTACAACACATAAAAGCCCTAAATGATCTAGAGAAAGCATAGTGAGAGCACACTTTAAATGAAAAGAAAAGTTGGTTTTGCTATCTAGTGCCCTAACATTCCATTCATGAGATTATGCCAAGGTCATTTATATTGTTATGCATGCACATCATTTTTTGGATTATATGTGAGTATGTTCTAGTTTGTGCACAAGATTCTATCTCACATATACACATGGAGAGTATGCTAGGGTAATCATAGAGTTATTCATTTTTTAGAAAAACCCTTGGAGAGAATTGCATCAAAGCTGAATTTGAATAGCCTAGTGAATGTGAATTCTGTTGAGTAAATGTCTGAATTGCATTTTGATTTCACACACACGCGAGTTTGAAAGGAAATGTGTAGGTGTATACTCTAAAATACCATTTAAAGCTATGGCGAAACTCATGTGTGATTGGTTCAAGTGTTTGAAAAGTTGTGTCAAGCAACCCAAAGCTAGTAGGATAAGGGAATATTGCTCAAATTTTAGCTATGAGAAAGGAAGAGGAATACCCTTTGTACTGTAGCTTGTGCTTTACGTATTGCGTGTTTATTTTGTTGACTTTATAATTCCATGGTATGGTTTTGAAAGCATCAAGGCTCAAATCGCCTTGCAATTTTGTAAATGAATTTGGGCATAGTCATACATCGTGGTTCACTACCTTGGATCATGTTTTTGGGTAGTTGAATTAGAAAATAGGTCATTAGAATGTTTTGGAGTTGAATAAACTTGGAGTGGGATTGAGGATGTGAACATAGGGAATTTTTGAAAAAAAGTTGAAACTTACCGGTAGAAGATTGCAGGACCTACTGGTAGAAGTTTTTGAGAAGGGTTTTCTATGGGTAGAAGACTGACGACCTACCGATAGGTCTTGCTTAGAATCCCAAAAATGAGGGTTTTAAACCTAAATTTTCGGTGAAACCCTTCATCTCCCTCATACATCTTAGTCTAGAAAACACTCTCTCGTATCTCAAAACCATCCAAACATTCAAAGAAGCCCTAGGCATCCTCCAAATCCATCAAGTTTCTCTCTTAAGTTTGTGATTCGCCATGATTCTTCTTCATTTCCTTGACCTCTATTCCCCCAAAACCCTCTTTTCTTCATAAAGCATCACCAATCCATAAAAATCCGTGATTTTCAATCGAGGCTTGGAAATTGGAACAATGACTAGAATGGGTAAAGTCTTCGCCACCATCTTTTGACTTTTTCAGTAGCTTTGGGTTTGGTTTTTGCCATTCTTCGTCCTAGGGCCCACACTAAGCAAATCAGCCTTGCCTCACCACCTACCACAGGAACCGGGTCCTATAAGAGGGCTAAGGAGGCAGACCCAAGTGGTGGGGGACAAAGGAAGAATGACCCTCACATGAAGAGCATTAAGGCCAAGAATGTGATATGCGAGCAGTAAGTTGACAGACCAACCCTCGGG